ATCAGATTATAAAAGGGGAAAAAAAAAAACCCAAACATCTGCAGTTTATAATAACATGAGCAAGAAATACTAGCACTACCTCAGAAAAGTATGCTTTTGTTAACGATGTAATATCCAAATGAGTTCACGTCTTCCTCTGTTTAAACTTTCACATAGAGCTCAAATACACCTACAAAAGGGCAGGAACTGTAACTAGTGCAAAAAAAAGAAAAAGCAAAAAACTAAAGCAACCTCATATATTATGAGTTTCAACACTATTTTATTCAGCTCTCCTACACACAATGTATACACATAATACACATGTGTGTATATATATAATATTAATATTAGTTACAATATTATATAATAATATTATATTACATACACATAACAACAGTCATTACTTTCAGCTCGAAAGAATTACAGAACGAAACCTGGTACTTTTTTCAGTTTAGCTACTAGCTCCACGGTCAGGCCATTTTGTAGTTCATAAAGAAATACAGTCCCCCATAGTCAAAAGAAGAGAGACTTGTCTTAAAAGACTTGCAGTCTTTTAAAGCACAAGATTGGCTGATAGCTCTCCTCCTGTCTCTGTAAAATCTGCAAGAGATCAGATTCAACCTAAAGCTCTCCCAAAGTTGACAGTCTTGCCTGTTCAGTAAATATTCTTTTATTCCAAAAGCTTGATTTTCAGAAGTGCCAGGTACTTCAAGTTTCCTCACTGAGTGAATTTGCACATCTCTTTCAATCTCACTGAAGTTTCAACAATTTTGAGTTGCCAAGAAGGCAACTCAAGGAGCTGATGGAAGCCGACATCAAAAAAAAACAAGTCCTCATTTTGCAACTGCACCCAGTTGCTGTAGGATCGTTCGCAGGACAAATTCTTTGACCACTAGGACCACAGACAATTTATTTGGTGAACTGAATACCTTGCAATATTATTTCTATTACCACTTTCTCTACTGTGCTAAAGGTACTTGTTCATTCTTGAGATTCACCTTCTCATTTTTTCCTTTTTTTTTCTGTAAAGTTCATAAAGCACATGTCCATCTTGCAAACTAATTTATTGGAAAGTGGAAGTATTAATATTTTTCTGTATTAAGACTGAATGGATTAAGTTCCATATTTCATATGGCAGGGCTAAGATGTCAACTCAGAAATTTGTAATTTAGAAGACTCCTTCAAAATAATTTATTAATAGATATTAAAAATCTCAAACTTGCAAGCAATGTCACTTCCATAACCTTGTTTAAAAACATGCCATTCAAAACATTCATTTCAAGCATATATACTCAAGGGATGTAGTTTTATACTAAGAAAAATGGTCTAATACCAATTCCTATTGGTCTAATTCCTATTGCTCAGGCTGTGATTTCATATAAGCCAAAATTTGAGATAAAAGCAGCAAAACAGACATACAGTCCTCCTCTCCTTTTGCTCCACATGCTTTACAGATAAGTAATACAAATCCAGGACAAAATCTCTATTAGTCCAGATTCCTCTGACTTAAGATGTTATCACGGTTAGTTAAAAACCACTAGGATGAAGAAATGGCGCTTGGATCCAGACAAACAACACAAATAGCCTAGAAACCAAACCACATCGGGAAGAAAGACAGATGCTACCTTCTTTGCTACACTGTAAGGAGAAAAACAAAAAACAAAACAACAACACCACCACCACTACCCTCTGATAAGATAATAAATTAGAAAGGGATGGAAGAAATTGTGTGACCTCTGTGCCCCAAACTGTCTCCTGTGGCTTTTGTCCTGTGAGGTTCCAATCTGCCCCTTTATGTACACAAGCTTATTCTGCTCCTCAGCCTAAGGTCCTTCCAGAATTAGTTCTGTTAATTTCCTGGAGACCAAAAAATGACAAAATCAAGCACCACCTACTCACCGTTCCTTAAATATGCCTCTGCTGTCAGAGCTTCCTTTTGCTTAAATCTGTGCATGATTCTAAAGAGCTATCTCACCTCTGTACTCAACACATTGCCAGAAACCTTTGATGCATTTTCAGCCGTTCAAATGAGTTAGCCCATCAATAACCCCCAAAACACATGAATAAGCCCTTCAAGAGCAATGTTTGCTAGATGTTAGCATAAAGGTAGGCTGCTCCTCAGTTATCAGGGAAAAAGGAAAACTGGAAAAGAGTACAGTGTAGTAAGTGCTAATAAAAATAACTAGTATGTGGCAAGAAAGCATCATCTTTAGAAACAGGAGCTGTCCTGCCTGTACTGAAAAGGTCATCTAACCCCTCAGAAAAGAGTAATTGGATAAAAGGAGTCTACTTTGAAAAACAATCTGTGTTGTTAAGATGGTAACTGAAGCAGAGTTTATTAAGCCAAAAAATTTAATTCTTACCTTGATAGTGGTTCCAAATCCAGATAAAAGACATCTGGAGCAGTGGCAGGCTGTCAAAACAAGCATCTGGTACAAATAAAGAAAGCTCTCCTTGTTTCTGTCCTTTCTGTAACCTGTTTGTAATAAAAATCTTTGGACATTCACTTGGTAAAATATAATGAGAAAGTACTCATTGTATGTACTCATTGTGTATGAGAAAGTACTCATAAGAGAAAGTACTTATTTATTCACAGCATTATAGTCATGTTGTGACTTATAGTCATGTGTGTTCTTCTAGAAAGAAGAAGACAAGAATTATGGAGGTAGGAATTCAGTATGCAGTCAACACAGCGCAGAATTTTTCCTGATGGCACCTCATGTGTTTCCAACTGGAGCATTTCTAAGCCAAGCTGGGCTCTGAGGCATTTAAAAATTAAACTTAAGAAAGCGTTTGATTTAAAAATTATTTTTAAACTAGAAGGGATAATAGCAAGTTCACACCAACATTTTTGTTTTAGATTCCTTAATTGCTTTGCCTTAAACTCTTTTATATTGATTCCTGATTTTATCTATTGAAGAATTCATAAAATTAGAAGGATGAACTGAAGATTCCTTCTTAAAAAAAGAAGCAAGTGCAACATTTCTTGTGCTTTTTAACAAAAAGCAAATCAAACTTTAAGTTGTACCACATAGGCATTGCCATGATATACTAGAATTAAAATAAAATAAAAACAAAAACCTTTCTCCAAATGCACATACATACTTCTCCATCGCAAGTACTCAGTCTATCTGGAGATAACTGACTTAAGTAACTTAAGAATTCTTAAGTGATACATGGCATACTTTTCCCACTTCTTTTCCCCACTGAATAATTATACAATACACTACTGGATTGATTCAAAAAGTTTTGCTAATTATATATTTTGATAATAACCACGTATGGGCATGTTCTTCCAGATGTGGTTCAGAAATGAAAGAAGACCTTGAATATTTCAAATATATATATATTTTTAAAGGTCTTTGCGATTGTTTTTCCTTCTCTGTTTTTTCTTCTCTTTTACCTAAGGGACGGAGTTATGTTTTGCAAATCAACACTGAATTTTAATCAATTATTACAAAAGAAGTGACTTATGTAGATCAATCAAGCTGGTACACATGATACATCACTTTCTATCATGTAAAATCGTTATTAAAACCATTATGGCTAGGTTCTAGTCAATTTATTATATATAGAAGAAATCACCATTCAAATTTGCAAGCACATTCAGCTAGTAACAGCAAAAGCCAAAGAGATTTCATTTCTATAAGCCTAATGACAATGGGATTTCTCTTCACTTGCAAGATTAAACCAGAGGAAACACAGCTGCATTAAGGCTGAAAGATTTTCATTCTGCTTACATTTTAAAATAGTTGTTCATTTCTTTTCCACTAGCAAAGGAAATTCCTTATCATCCCAGTCAAGAGAGAAACAACCACTAAATACTTGCACTTCTGCAATAGCAGCATTGTTAAAAAAAAAAGCAGATTTAAACGAGGTAGATAACTGGCTCCCATTTTCTTATTCAAAAGTTTTGTTAATTTTTTTTTCCACTCAGAAAACCCATAAATAAGTTCAAGTTACAAAAGGTTTTCCTTGACTTCACTATGCCACTTCTTTGACAGGAGATTACTCAGTGGAAGAATAAATGCTTGAACTGAAAAATGCAAAGCAGCATTCTTTACTTAGCTGTGAAAAGGAAGTCAACGCTAGTGCATTAAAAAGAAACGTGACAATTTTGTCATCAATTAATAATTTTTATAGCTCAAATTTCAAAATATTAAATCAATATTAAATCAGAAACAAGATTCATGAAGAAAATCTTGGAACTATATACACGCATAATTAAGAATCTCTATAAACTTTTGTCAATATTTACTTCTTTTGTACAAGTTCTTTCACACAGTCATGTATTTACAAGCTTTCTTTTTCAAACATATTAATATTTATATTTTATAGCATTTACAAATCATTTGAATCATTTTTTTTTCTTAAAAACAAAAGAATATTTCAAGGAGCTGACAAATAGATTTGGTTTCATTGCATGGTAGTAGAGAGAGATTTATTTAATGGGTTTGAGAGAGTTCAATTATCTAAATAACAATCATCCTACAATTACCCAGAATTATCATATATGGCTTCAAATATCTTCCAAAACCAAAGAATCAATTCAGAAGTAGAAACTAGAATCCACCTGTGGCATATTTCTAATTAAAGCCTTGAGTCTTACATATTTGGGTTAGGTCCACAGCTCTGCAAACACACTCTACACATATATGCGGAAACAGAAGTCATGATAGTTTTACAAAAAAATGTTTCCAGTGAAGTCAAGAACATATTAAGTATTTATAAGATGGACTAACTGATTTCTCCAGTATACTGACTGGCTTTTATAGATGTTTTATTACTGTAAGAATAACACACAGTTTTGAAGTGACCAAGCACATTTTTCAGGATTCACAGGTCGAGAGGTCTTCTGAGAAAAGGAAGAAATCTTTACCTCAAAATATGAACATTTTTTCTCCCTCAAAATTTGAGGAAGTTGTGTATATGATATGCTCAAATTTCTCATACAATCCATCCAGCCAAATCACTATCCAGTAACAGATGAATTGAAAATTTACCTGCATGTTTCATTTTGCCTGTGTTATGAAAAGAAATAGAAGTTTTGGCTTTGACAAATCAAGTAACCATCCCCTTTGAATACTGTTTCCTAGAGTTCCTGGACAGATTGTTCCACAGTTTGTTCTTCCACAGGCTGCATAGCTTCCTGCACATAAACTATAAATTCTGAAGCCTCCCCTCCCTGCGTGTAGACAGTCACTGTCTCGATTCCCTCCACTTCATCTGATGAGACTACCAGGTGATGCTGCTCAGACAGCTCCACTGATGCTTGCTGCAGAGTCTCTTGAATCATCAGAGTGTGATTGGCTGATTGCTCCTCCTCTTTTACCTAGGAAGACATTAAAGAGGACATAGAAGCTTCACTTTTCAAATAAATAATTGCTATTGTGGTGATTAATGCAAATACAACACATAAATTTGAAAGAAAAACAGATTTTTTGAAAGAAAACAGCAGATTTATACTGGAAATTTACAGTAAACGTTTTTGACTAACAAGAGTTACTGCTTCCAGTACTTTGTAATGCTATGCACTGCATCTCAGATATACAAGGACAGCTACAAAGCACAACTCTGGAGACATATTTAATCTCTCAGCAGTCATTCACTCAAACCACCCTTATCTAAATAAATCTGAAGTCAAATGATTCCTCTAGTATAACTGAGAATCCATCCAAAACCATCTCAAAAAACAGCTAGTCACCATTTTTTTTTTCTGAGCCAAGAAACTTCTTAAAAGCAAAAATTGTATGGAGGACATCAAAGGACTTTTATTAGGGAATTGTGAGCTGTAAGTATTACTGAAATACATCTCCAAGACACATTGTTTGTGAGGCAGTAGTTTTTATAGTATTAAAAGTATACTGATGAGAACAATCAAAAAATGACATACTATGACATAAATATTACTACTCATCAATAATAATTAAAAAAAAACACAACTTGGCATCAAAATCAAAAGAACTATTAAAATTCAGTATATATTAGAATTCAAGAACAAATTTTTATTCCTCTGTGGATCCATACAAATTCCTATGCACAATACTCTCAGCCAATGTCAAAACATTGGAAAACTCTAAGTCACATTGAACAAATGCAGCCTCTCCAGTATTAGCAATACAATAATGTGTTTTTCAGGAGAGAATGGAAGAGCAATTTTTCTGTATACAAGATATATCCAAAAGCATGCTGGATGATTTCTGTACCGAAACACTGTGTTCATTAGAGAACTGCTTTATGTGTTGGATCATAAACGTCAAGCCACCCACAAGTGCAAACAGAATGAAGTATGTACATAATGAAGACGTATTGTCACTAACAGCACATATTGCTGTTTCAAAGGGGAGTGTAATAGAAGGAAATAACTACAGTGCAATTTCCAAGCATGTGTTTTGACTCCTTCGATTAGAGACTAAGAAGGAAAAAAAAAAAAAGACCTTCTACACATTTAGGGTTTTATTGCTCTAACATGATGTGCTCTAACATGATGTTCTTTCTATGCAGCCTTTCCCATTATTCGACACTGGCTTTTCCTTTAACTTCTTTTTTATTCCGTGTTTAAAATTTCTGTCAGATCCAGAAGACTTAAGAGAGACGCAAGCCCTGAGGACTTTGTATCCTTTGCACTTTCACTCAATTCATGAGGCTATACAAAGCTTTTTCTTGAACAATAACAAGTATGTTCGGTGTTCAATTATTTAGAAATCCCCAAGTCATTCTGCTTGTGATACGGTGGTGGAAATACATGTGTATTTTATCTAGTGAAAGATTTAACTTCTAAAGAGAATCTTGCCACTTTAGTTGACCTTCCCACAATAGCATGACGGCACCTACTGAGGCGGACTCGGGCTTTGTACCCAGCTTTCAGATTACAGGGATGAAACTGCACAATAGAGATGAAGATGAGAGTCTTTCCATGCTCCTTTTCTTTTACAATATATATCTGAATGTTTTTCTTAAAATCTTTTTTAAGCAAACCCTGTTGAAGTTCAAGTTCAACATTTCACAAAAAAATGGGTAATGTTGGCTGCAACCATCCTCAAAAACCAATGTCATAAAATCGGGATATGTCAAAGATTATCCTTTAATAATGCAAAACTTGGGTCCCTACTCAAAAAGCAAGGAGCTAAGCCAAGAAAAGAAACATGACATTCTTGACTTGCTTCTTCCCACGTCCTCCCTCCTTTTTATTGCTGCAGAAAGCAACAGGAATTTAGCAAATCCTGGCATGGGACTCCCCTTTTGTAAGTGTGCCCTCCTATCTCCTGAGGCTACTTGCTGCAGCAGCAGATTTGCTGGAATATCCTCAACTTCATCAGGAGCTAAAGTTTAAAACACAGGGTAAACAAAACCTCACCGCTCGTGGAGTCTGCAAATAACTAGACCCTTGATAACTGAGATCTCCAACTAAAAAAAAATTCACAGATCGGCAGGACTGAAATGTGGCCTTTTAATTATGTAATTCACAGTAACTGCTCCTGTGCTGGCAAAGCATCCACAATTTTCTGACAAAAGGTCTCAGCCCCCCTAAAAGTCATTTTGATAAACATGACTACATTTGCTGAGCTGCAGGAATGCACAGTGTGAATATGGGCTTGTACGGCTTCACTTTAGTCACTCTAAATGAAAACACATAAATAACTTTAAGCATATTTTGGTGAGTGTACATAAATAATAAATAAAAGAAGATAGATAAAGCACAGTTGACATAAAATTGAAATGAAACCAGAATCTCATTCAATTCAATAGCAGCAATTTAATACTTACTCAGTTTTATATGCTTTTGAAACGAAAATTGCCAATAAAGAAAGTTAATTTAACCTCCCTACCTGCCTTTATTGGCAGTTTTCTAACCCTTGTCATATAGGGTAAAGAAGACTAATGCCCTTAGTCCTGGTGTTTCTAGCTTTTAACATCTTTTTGGACAGCTCTCTGGAATCCTTTTAGTTTGACAAATTACCACATTAAATTATTTTGGATATTTACATTTCAAGTAAATTCCGTGTTTACATGCTTCATCTTGGTTCCTATTAGATTGTTCCACAGGGAATAATCTCAAAACATTAATTTACATCCCTCAAACTGATGACACAGTGGGACAGCTGCCATCAGAATGAATGAAGTTGTTATGTTCAATTCTTTTTATTGTCATTTCCAGTGTTTTCAAGACAGGTATTCGTGACCTCTTTTCTCTTTGAGAGGCAGCTGAAAAGCATCTGGCTGCTTATCCTTGCTTAAAGAGTGGCAGCAAGAAGCTGAAGGCCTCCATTGCTGGTGGCTAAACCAACCCAATACCCGCAGAGATTCTCTATGGGCTAAGTGTTTCTCACAAAGGCCTGCGGGAAAAACTTCCCTGTGCCTTCATTAACAATCTCATGATTAAAAGAAAGTACTTAAAATAAACAAGCAAAGCTGCTTTTTCATTCTAGGGGTCACTCTGAGAAGTAATTAGTATCTTTAATTTCTTTGAAGCTGGCAGGAATAGGAAGCCCAGAGTACATTTTAAACAGCCTTGCAGGGCTTGACCCAATTCCACTGCAGCCTCTCTCTTGTGTTATTAAGGTGAAAGTGGCTTTCAGTTTACCATGAAGAAGAAAGGTTAATCACACAGGTCTAGCAGGAAGTCAGAATTACAGCAGGCTGTGGAGGCTCCTATTGCCATCCCAGGACGCCCGGGGAAGAGGTGCACTCTACAGCTGGCACTTTGGAGATAGTGACCGTGGCCACGGTAGGATTTCACCGGAGCTTGAGGAGATGACAAAGTAAAAAGATGGAAGGAAACAAAATAATATGTGAACCAAGGAAAATTCACTGTTTTCTTAACCTTGTTAAAAACTGCTTACTTAGTGAAACAGTAGCTGTGCTTGCTCTTCACAGCAGATTATTTACAAGGTTGGAAAGCAGGTTACCACACAGCTTAACCCTAAGTACAGTCTATGTAACCCTCCAAGGTACAAATATAGAAATATAGAAAACAGAATCAGTCTTCTGTGATTTCTGAATGAGAGAGAGAAAGAGGAAATATTCCCTAGCCAATTAGATCCCTTAACTGTCAGCATTAATGTAATGTTCTGAATCAGGATGTGTCTTGGACCAGGTATTCTGAAGTATGAAATATTTCACCTCTCCAAAGACTTTATCATTTTGGTATAAAACAAGAGAAGCAAGCAGATACAGAAAATAAAAGGGAAGGGGAGGAGTACATTATCAATGAGACAGGCAGCAGTATCAATACACCAATAACCTCAGCACAGATAATTGCTGTCATCATATTTTTGAAAAGTAATTGAGAGAAGACAATGAAGTACAAATTGCTCTTCATTAAAAATCCACATAACTAAGCACAATATGGTAGAAGGCATTAAGCAAGTTGTTTGAAAAAGTAATGAGCAATTAAATCTTTATGGGCTGAGCAAAGGTAGGAGTCAAAATCTCCACAACTAATGAGAGATGGGATACTAAGTCAGAACCCAGTAAAAAGCCTTGAAGTAGAAAAAAAAAAAACAGAGCTTTTGTCTGATGTGGCAAAAAAAAAAAAGGAAGATCAAGTGGACACACTGAAAGGCAGCATGGTGTCAAGAGGGGCAGACAGGCAATCTTTGAATTGTGTTCTGAATGAATACCAAAGGGGCAAAACAGCATCCGTAATCGTCAAAAGAACGAATATCCGGGTAAACACAGCATAAAGTATGCTAACTTGGAGAACCACTCTAGCTACATGACTGAAATAAAAGACCATAGTAAAATGAGAATGCAGAGTAAATCAGCAGTATTTAGTTGCCTCTTAAATGCAAGACCCATAGACTCGACCTGAAGGTAGCACCAGGTTTGAATAACAAGAAAAAGAGCTAAATCCCGTAAGGGTTGAAATAGAAAACAGATAGATGAGGAAGAACAATTCTGCAGGAGAACTGACACAATCTTTAAACATGGTGAGCTTGAAGTGATGGCTCTAGAGTCACAAGAAAGATAGAGGTGAGGTCTTTCACAGGGACGGGAGAGGATTGTTTAGACCACTATTACTTAGCACATGGGCCCTGTATTTGTGATTAAAGCTTTTACATGCTAATGTGCTACAAGAAAGGTGGTGGAAGAGTTTTTGTGTGCAGCACTCACCCAGATATATTGTTCAGAAGAATTTATTAGCCTCTTTCTCAGTCATTCTTTAAGTTTAAAGCTCTTTTCTTTCACCTTTTCCTCCTTATTACTGACTGCATCTTTCTGTAACCTCAAGCAGAACAACCCAGATAACGCGAGTTCTGTCTTGAAGGAACATGCAACCCGGATAACTAGCAACCAAAGTGGATTCACACAGACAAGAACATGATTCTTGTCCCATGCTGTGGTAAAAACTTCACCGTGGAGTTTTGCTCGGGCCATTTTGGTAAAACGTCAGACTAGCATCTTGGTTTTCTCTCAGGCATTTGATGTGCATTGTGTTCCTTAGCAGATGCATGTTTTCATAGCTGTCACAGAATAGGATTTCTCCCAAATTAGATGTCAGAAAAAGTTGAAACTGGATGACAGCTTGGTATACCAGTTCTCAGAGAATGAACTAATGCAATTTCAGGCTCTAGACATACCCTGTCTATATGTGGCACATCCTGATGTTCGTTATCAGACAGCCTCTTTTTTTGTTTTACTGCAGGGAGCCTGCAACAATTCTTAGTTACCAGGCACAATGCAAGTCAAATAAGACTATTCTGCAACTCGAAAACAAAAGTTGCAGCTCATTCAGTCTGGGACTGGCTGCTGTCATATTGTCAAGGCTTTTCTATTACAAAGTCAGGTAAAGTTTCCTAAATGAAAAGTACCATTTTTGTCTCAACATGCAATTTGGGAGCTGGATTTCAGCTGCACTATGATGCGTACACATGCTTTCACATACATGCAGTAGAACTACATAGTACCACTCAGAGCAATAATGTAGGGGTAGAACACTGTAAACATGAGATCCTTTCAGTCAACTGATTTGGCAGAAAATAACACCCCAAAAATACAAATCAGAGCTAAATAATACACTCAGCATGTAGCAATGTACTGAAAAAGACTTACAGACTAAGATAAAAGCTTCTTTATTCACAAAAGAAAGTCCCATGGTCATGTGAGACACTGCAAGTGCTTCACACAAGATGCCTGGAAACATGAATTAGGGAATACACCTGGATTCGAACACAATTCCAGGTACCAAGTGTGAGTAGCAGTTTTCTGGGTGAAAAATAAAGGAGAAGTAGAGTAATGTGGGAAAGTTCCAGGGAGGGGAAAGAAGACAGAGACAGCAATAGTGCAGAGTAACATTTGCAGCAAAAAAGTATTTTTTAACTTGTGTATTCTAATATTTGAGGATTTAGTAGAAATTTCTTAGTGTAAAAAAGCAGGAAGGAGGGGTGAAGGAAAGAAAGGATGAAAAATGAATAATATAGCCTAAAAAACCCAGCAACCAGCAACACATAACAGCATAAAAATCAGAACACTAAATAAATGCTAAGGAAAAAAATGGAACCAAGCTGCTCAGCAAGGACTCGGAGAGGCCATTAGAGAACAAGAGAGGAAACTTACTGACAGATGATGCTGATATATTGCTGACACTCTGAATGAATTTTTTGTCTCACAATCCACAAGAGAAGCTGAAGGTCACAGAACAGAGTGTGGAATAAATTTTCCAGTGGTAAAGTGAAATATGAACATGTCTTAAGATCACCTCAAGGTTAACAATTAGGAACTCAGCATAATTAAAAACTGACAAAGTAGTAGGCACAAATGAGTTATATCCCACTGAAAGCGACTCGCTACTAAAGAAAAAAGAAGAGATGTCAGTTCTTGGATAGGAAAGGATTACAGTCATGGTAATGTCATTTATGGATTCCCCCCCACCAAATTAAAAATAGGTGTCATTGAAATTCTGAAGGAATCTACTGGTGTGAAGATAAAAAGCAGGAACACTGAAAAAAAAAGCTGTCAATTTTGCAGAAATTGAAAATCAACTTACACAGAAAATTAAAAGAATATACGTGACAAGAAGGAAAAAAAAGGCAAAAAGATCCGTAGACTTCCCTTGGTCCTTTACTTCCAGTGGGCTTCCACTTTATACTTCCTTGGAAAATTCACAAGTCTGCTGCACACTGAATAGTAAAAAGCTGCCAAGGCTACCAGAAAAAGAAATCAGTAAGCACTCCAGTACAAACATGAAACATTTAACAGAGGAACAGTGTTTACAATATCAAAGCAAACTACTAGAAAAAAGCAGTGTAAATAGAGGTAGCCCAGGGTCCACTCAGCTTGAGTCCACTTCAATTCTTAATGGACCAATTTTGCTTTTCTGCAACTTTAAGTCAGGGAGAAAAAATGGATTTTATATTAATAGGAATCTAAAGAGAGGAAAAAAAAAGAAAAGTAGCAAAGAGATTCTCTGAGAATTCAATACTTCAGGTGATACAAGAGTGCTGCTTATGCCAGTATGATACGAGACCAGCAAAAGTGGTGGAAAGCTCCCAGGCAAGGCAAAGAAGTGATCAGTGCTCAGCAGCTTGTAACCTCAAAGGCTGGCTAGATACATGGATTAAAAAGTGAGGGCAGGAAATAAATTTTAATATAACCCTGTTCGCATTATGGCCAAAGCCTAACAACAATTCAAAGCCTAACACAAGGAAGACGATAGATTTTAAGAGGAGTCAGAAACTGAACAGATACAATCGTGAAGGAGAATCATTTAAAATGATTTTTTTTTTTAAGTTTAATGATGCAATTTCTCAAATGCAGTTTCTCATTGACACCTTCTAGTTCAACAGCCATTCTCTCTCAGGTTTTTACTAAAAGAAGGGCCACAGAAAAAAAAACATTTTTAAGAGAAGAACACTTTTCAATGGTATTGACAGGCAGCACAGAGACAGCAATGGCTAATCCTCCACTCCACCCTTAAATAAGTCATAAATATAGCACAGCATGCCTGTTGGCAGTGGCTCTACTGCTAAAGGTGTTTTGAAATTTGCACATAATGCAGAACTGAAATCATTCTCCTCTATATTCATTCTATTTAATCACAAAATTTGACTGTTACTCTTCATAAAAAAGAACCTTAATAACATTTTTAATCGAAGTATCCGGTAATTATTGCAAAGGAGCATTTCAAAATGTAATTTATTGCAATTTTGCCTTCTTTCCCTGACTTCAGGAGATATGGTTAGGAAATACTCAAACTCTGCTTCTCTAGACGATGGACTCCCCACTCCTATGGCACCCCTCTGAGTTTAATATCCACAGTACGACAGAAGAAGATTAAACTTAACAGTTAGTCCTGGCATTCAAAAGAAATCAGAGTTTTGGCTCATTTAATTAAATGGGGTTAGCTAAACTCTCAGAAATTTAAGACTGTTCATTCGGTTCCCTGAGTTATCAACCATGTTGAGCACAAAGACCCTGAGGAATCCCAGAACGGTTGAGGTTGGAAGGGACCTCTGGAGATCATCTAGTCCAACCCCCCTGCTCCAGCAGGGACACCCAGAGCACGTGGCACAGGGTGGCATCCAGGCGGGTTTCGAAGATCTCCAGAGGAGACTCCACAACCTCTCTGGGCAGCCTGTTCCAGTGCTCTGCCACCCTTACAGGAAAGAAGTTCTTGCTCACATGGAAATTGAACTTCCTGCGTTCTAATTTATACCCACTACCCCTTGTCCTGTCACCATCACACTGGACAGAATAGGAAAGGTGAAGGAAGCAGATCTTGGAGAACACAGTGAGGAGAAATGGAGAAAAGAGAAGGAAAGATAGCAGAAACTTGTGGAGAGGAAATATTGGGCAAAAGGGGAGATGTTCATACAACACTACTATCTCGATTTAAAAATAATACTAACTTTTAACTACTTTTTTTGTATCTTACCATTCTTAAAAGTGCCTTACTAATATCGTACAGTGCAAACATTCTTCAATAAAACAATATATAAAGTTATTTCTACAAGGTATGCCTAACTATTGCCTACCACAAATTACGTCGCCTAATGCTTTATCAGCCTGAAGCCTGAAATTATGAAGTAATACTTTTTTGCACAACTTAGGACCCTACAAGTCTGCCTCTGTGAGCACCTCACAGCTCTGCATGAGCCAAAAGGACATTTCAGACTGTCCTGATTACGTATGGATGCTGTGCCAAGGAACTTCTCTTTCTTTTAGATGATAATGAAACTAGGTGCTCAATCAAAATGGAGTTATATTGATCTAAAAAAACCCCGAAAAAGTCTCGGAAAAGCCATATTTTCAAACAAATATGCATATATACACAAACATGCACATACAGACACACACACAACCATTCACTCCTAATCTTACAAGTAAGACTATATATATGCTATATATATGGGTGTGTATATGCATACATATCTATGTATACGTATGTCTATGTATACACATACAAAGTATGTATGTATAAACACAAATACATACACACAAACAGTCAAAAATTAGGTTTGGAAAAATTCCATGTGTCTTTCTTGCACGGTCATTCAGAATTTATTTGTCGCAGAACACGATATTTTTCATAACAAATATAGGAAACAAAACACAACTCTTTTCTAAGAGCTCTTACCTGCTTTACCACCGTTACTGTCCCGGGTGCCATGGTAACCACAGAAGCAACTGCGGTGGCATCATGAGTTTCTGCACCCAACTCAATGATTTGCTGCAGGATATTCACAGCTGTTGGGTCAAGTCTTTCACCTACCAGAAAGACAGAAAGCACAAGACCATTACATGTAAAAAATGGTATGTGAAGCTAAGTGCTACAGAAACTCTTTTTCCTCCTGCCTTCACCCTGATTCACAGAACTCTATAAATTTCCAACAGCTAAATAACATGACACTTTAATAATAGATCTATGGCAGAACGCATTCACAGAACAAATTTTCCTGAAGAAGGCATGCATCAGCAAGTGAAACCACACTGCTCATTTTTATGTCTATTGGAAAGAGATCAAAAAGAATATATTGACTACACAAACAACAGGTACAACTCGTAACAGTAAGTGTAAATTAGGAAGCTGCAAGACATCAGAAATGTAAATGTGTGCTTGCCAGAAGCTCAATTTTAACAGAACCTGAACTCTACACTATAAGCAGCGTAGTTACATAGGATATTACATATCTGTATTTACCATCTGTTTGGCCATCTGTAATTCCACTCAACCTAAAACAAATCCTGTTATCACTAATGTGCTGAAGAGAAAAAGTTAATTGCTTGAGAGAGATCATGCTCATCATTCGTAGGTAGAGCAGCAGAACATTTGACTCTCTTTCTTTATGTCTTTTTTAGTAATCTTCTTGATGTGTATATCCCTGGCAAAGAAAAAGTAGATTTATAAAACATGTATAGCCATATTCTCACACTCTTCTGGTAGAGTGAAAGGGAAAGATTTTGAGGCCAGTCAGGTACTGGACAATGTTTCCTGTTTTTGTTTGTTTGTTTGTGTTGTTTTGTTTTTCTGTGAAACTATCTTTAGACAAGATACCACTGTTCTCCATATCTACCCAGAAGATGTCAGAGAAGTATCCTCAACTTGGTAAGTACTAAAGAAAATCATTTCACTTGGCAAATTAGAGTTGCATGCTTAAAATTGAAATTACATACACTATATTGCATGATTTCACCTATTTTAACTGAGATATATAAAAGTTTAAGAAAAGTTCTCAAGTTTTCTTCATTAAGTATTCCCATTGATTAGAAGTTAGATAATACATAGAAATTGTCACTAACATTTTATTAATTACAAAATATTAGTTACAACATGTTTGAAAATTTCCTTTAAAAATGGGAGATTCTGAAATATGTATAATAAAACTATAAGGATCAAAATAATGGCAAAATATGTTTATTCATAAATATATATAAATATACATATATACATACACACACACATATATAAGTATATATTGAAAAGCTCAAACATAAAATCTTATTCTGTTCTCCGATGTTTTAACAGTCTTAGAAACCTGATTATTTTCTCTTTTCTTCCAGACTTTGTTATTTCCCACTTGGCAAATATTATTTAATGCCTCTCCTGCTTGGTCAACGTGATCCTGAATGACTGACTTTCTGTTTGGTGTCTCATTAGAATAAAGCTTGTTAGCATTGTCTTAGGAAAGCGGTAACTGAGCTATTCCACTGTCTCACTTCTGCAGGCAGGTTGACTAAGAAAAAATAGCTGGAGAATTGCTGTTAGATACATATCACCTACTCTGCCAAGACAGCTGATTTCACTATACATTTAATAATAAGTAGAGAAACTTCCACCCATCTAATAACAAAGGTCCAGAATAGAGTGTGATAAATATTGTAAGGATGTTGTAAGTATGATAAATGTTGAACGGATACAGAAATTTGTAAGCAAGGGCCATTTCTCATTATTTTCCTTCAAAGAAAAATATAAAACTCCAAAAATAAGTTCTGGATAACAAATCTCACCATGTTTATAGTTTCATAGTAGATAATGTACTGCCCAGTGTACTCAAAAAATTCAGAGGTTTATGAAAGGAAAATGTAGCTTGTGTTTCAACCTCAGCCATCAAACAAAAGCAACTTACCATTCTCAGAAGTGTATCTAAGGTTCTGCAAAGCAGCTACTGCAGCTTGAGTGCCCTGAACATCTTCTCCAGCTTCTGTGATGTGGAGATATTGAGTGGATGATTCTTCAGAAACTTCAGCAGTTAACTTGAAAACAAAAACCACCCGACACATTTAAAATCTGCTTTGTACTTTAGCAAATTAGAGACCAATGAAAGTTCTCGCATAATGTTGTATGGCAAGTATTGTAATGACTATTACAAATAACGAGTGAAACAGAATCCAACATTAGAATTTCTACTAATTTCATTGGAGTTATGGTATTACAGTAGAGGTTCATACTCCTAGATGTTACTCAAAGAGTTGTTTAAAAGGTTACATTACAGTTATTTCATAACTAACAACTTATAGAGGAATGGTTAGCGCCGCGGACATGGCTGCCCAGCAGGCCTGCTCAATTCCAGCTTTCAGGTTTCAGTGAAAGAACAAAGGGACTGCTGACTAGGAGATAAGGAAGTAGACCAAGGTCAGAGGGAATAAAAGAGCTGTTGAACTAAAAGGATGAGCTAAACAAGTGTAAGGGCTGTAAGGGTCATTGTCTACCAATTAGGAGCCTGTGTAATTACATCACTAACTGCTAGAATCATATAAATGTACTGCATGTAAGCTAATAAACGAAGTCAGTTCCAGCTTCTATGAAGTTGCTGTATGGCATTCGTGACCCGCTCCAAGCTGCAAAAACAACTGACTTTCGTTGCACCAGGGTCTAGTAAACACCTTCTAGGCAAAACTAATTTATAATGCTAATCTTTGCAGGTCTGGTAAAAAGCATCTGAAGTTTAAAAATGGCATTTGTTTTAGAAAAAAAATCTTGCATAACTGTACTTTTTCAAGACAAGCTGTCAGCATGTACTCCTGTTTTGAGGGGCCCTTTTATTTATTTATTTAACTTAGAGCCATTTCCACATCACAGACATTCTGGTCCTCCTATTTTACCAGGTCTGGGGACAGAAGCAAGAGTGGACAGAAGACAGTTTGTGAAACGTATGTGGACACCAGATTTCAAAGAATTACCTTTTCTAACAGTGGCCCTTCATTCTTTAAATAACTGTCCATAACGTACTTTGTCTGACAGCTTACAAGGATTTCACACCATATCAGCAGATTTTGAAAACCTGTTGAACAAGAACTGCAGGAGAACTCTTCCATATCATGCATAGGGCTTTGCCTAAGGCTAGAATTGCCTGAAATTTCGCAGGATAGGTCTTAAACTGGGGAGGGCAGTCAATTGCAGTTGACTTCTGACTTTTCACGTCATTGGAAAAACCAATATGGCCCACTCAGGCAGCTAAAAAGATTTCACTGCTAAGCTTGCCAACTGTTCTTTTTTTAAACTCAACTTCCTAGATAGTTTTCTGTTTTTGCAATAGTTTCTGCACCTAAAGGCAGCTTGCTTACATAACAGTAACAGCTCCCATTTAAAACAAATTGCTACCCACACAACAACAGAGGGAAGCTTGAAAGGATAAGACCCTCTCATGCAGCTGCCCCTCTCCTTAAACTGAGAAACTTTATGTTGTTTTTGTTCTCTAACTCAGTTTCCTGGTCTAACTTAATTATTTTAAGGTCTGATCTGCCTCAGTGATACTGTGACTGCTACATACTTAAGGTCAAATCTGGAAAAACAGAACAAATGACAGAAAAGTTACTCTGTAGACTCCTATCATGTTTTAACTGGTCAATTCAGTTTTCTAGATTTAAGGTGAAAGACATAAAATGCAGCAAAGCAAGCACTTAAAACCTTGATAATACTATCAGATATCAAAGCAGTCAAGCTTAACAGTCATAGGTCTATATGCATTCAAAATGTACATAAAATAAACCACACATCCTCCTAATCTTACGAAAACTCCAAAACATGTTTTGAATGCTTCTTATTGTACATCCTTTATTTTCTCTTTAGAAACTTAGAAAATCTTAATGCCAAAACCATGGTAGCTTCGGTTTACCTCCCACTTTGTCTCCCCATCGTGTTCCACAAGCTTCAGACCATGCTTGTTCTTAAGATGTCTGTTGAACTCCCATTTCGTACCATAGACAAAGCTGCAAACAGGACACTTAATGCCACCTAAAAGGAAACACAAATAAGCTAAGTTACTTTACACATAAATTCTTTTTCAAGGCAATAAGGACCTATTTAATTTCAACACAATTCTGTCAAACCACACAATTACAATTCAAACCACTTTGCCTTCTCCAAATAGCCTTCTCCAATAGCCTTGTGGTGACAAAAAAAAAGAGGAAAAACAAAGTAGTTGAACACGTAACAATGTCTAAGCAACAATCTGGATGATGATAATGGAAGGAGTCAGGAACAACTTG